TACAATTAGCTAAAACGTTCATTTGACTGTCAGTGTGCAAAGTACCCAGTTGTGAAATAAAAATACACACATTAATGCATCGTATCACTTCTCACAGTTGCATGTCTCAAATTGCCTGTGGCCACGTGTCACGTATTTGCATATATACATAATCCACTTATGCTGCTGTGCTCGGATGGTGCGCGGCCGTCCATACTAATTACACGAACTCGGGTTGACCGGGATGATGCATCAGGGCAGTTGACTGGGAATTAAGAGGCGGTTCCTGTGAGCATGTCGACGCCCTTTGAGCCATCAAATCTCTCCCACAACTACCTCTGCCGCTGCACATCGGGTCACAGGTTAGCTGGGTCTTATTAAAGTACAGCCGAAGGCAATAACAGCCGCCATATTGCCTGATAATTCTCTCTTTGGTGTAAAGCCTGTGTTTCCATGATAAGGGCTTAAGACGGAGCAGAGCTCGGTTTCTTAGGTTACTTGGTTTGAGGGAATTGTGGGACATTTTCTGAGTTGTGCTTCACTTTCTAACAGTGCTAATAACAAGAGTTAGAGATATTTGGAGACAGTCTGACCCATTTAAAGAAAATTAATTGAATACCTGTTATGAAAGCGTTTTCTCTCTGGGTTCCTCTAAATGTTTTCAGCTCATTAGTCGGCTATAACATTTGAATTTTTGGCACAATAAATACAATTAATTTTAACTGCTGGTTTGTGTCTGAGTGATTTTAATTAGCAATGACTTTATTCTACTGGGTCCGTGCACTTGCCTTGAACAAGCTATCTTCTCTTTTATGTGCCTCCTGTTTTATTCCTTGGGAGACGCTTTCAGCTATTTGTGTATACTGCCAGTTTATAATCAGGAGTTAAAACAAAAATCTGTATCGCTGGTTTGCAGATTGTTTTTTTGGTCCAAGTATTTATTGCTACAAGGCTCCTCCAGTCTTGTTCTGGAGCTGATAATGCAGTTGCAGGAGTTGTAAGATTAGAAAATTAGTCTTCGCTGCATCGGCCCATGTTCCTCTGAAGGTAATCACCTCAACTGTCTGATCAGAGATCCATCCATCACCACCAGTTGCTCTCATTGAGCCAGTCCCCAGGAGAAGTTTAGCTCCGGCTGCAGCTCAGAGTTGTGGTTTGATTGATGGCGTCACTTCTATGGCTTCAGTGGGAATACTAACACAGACAACTGACCTGTTGCCTTACATGCTGTCTGGTGATTGGCAGTTTTCTCAGTGGCTGATATGCTCAAACATGCAACCCTTGCGTTAACCCCGAGCTGCCACCCTCCCTCTCCCTCCGTAGTTTCGGGGATGTTTAGGTGGATATTGAGCTGCCAGCGGAGTGGCAGCTGGTCCTGACATGCTCGCTTCACCTCTGGTCTCTGGAGCTCGAGGCCCAGCCAGCCGTTTGTAATTAAAAGTGCATAAAGACAGATCAAGCTCTTTCCTTCTTCTCCCCCTTGAAGAAGCCAGAGGGCTGAAAACAGATCCGCTGGATGCCCTGAACCACCGACCTCCAGGGAGAGAGCTCCCTCATTTTTAAGCCTGCAAAAATAAGTTGTTCAGTGGTTTTTTTTTTCTCCCTTAATTGCATCCCAAGACAATAAACAATGTGGATTTAGGACTGATTTTCATTCACGTTCACCACTGAACTACTCATTATTATAACATCCCCCAAAGTTTGAGTTTTTCTCCACAATTTGCTGCTTTCCATGTTCACAGAATTCATTTTCAGAGTGAACCTTTTCCATTACGAGAAAGTAGGAACACAGGACAACTAAACCTGTTACCCCTGATGAAGCCAAATGTGATGTGCAGCAATCACAGGCAATCATCAGCTCACGCCAGGATTGTTTCCTCTTCTCCTGGCTGTCCCTCAAGAATCATCTCCAGCCAACTCCCCCGAATCAGAGACTCAAATAGTAAAATGTTTTCAGATTTTGACACCGCACAAACCATTGTTACATCTCTCATCTCTCATCTTGGGCTGGTTGTCAATAAAGTAAATAAGGCACCTTTTTGAAGGTGACATTATTAACCTTATCTGCAGAAAGACTTTGAGTCCAAAGCATGAACTGTGATTTGTGTTTTCTGTATCCATGGTGGCCGTGTTGTTGGCAGATGAGCCTACATATCTATCAGCAGGCTGACAGATAGCCGCCCGCGAAAGCCTCGACCTAGCAACCGCCATCCATGACCTTCATGGTGCCTCTGCATCTAGGTGGACAGAAGCCATTCTCTGCTTCAAAGGTTTCTAAAATTGAGGTCTTGAAAGGTGCAACCCAGATGTCTGAAGCCAAAGAAGCCCTAAAGATTTCACCCGACGAAAATCCCCACCTTCTAATACCTGGGTGTTTCTGTTCAGAGACAAGACAGCAGCACACAGCGTCGACTATTAGCATAGAAAGAGCCTGGCTGTCAGCAGAGCTGCTATTGTCTGTCCGTCCCCTCACCTTCCAGCTGTGTGTGCTGGAGCTTTCCTGACCTCAACCTGCCACACTCACACTCTTTCAATCAGCACAGTCAAAGCAGCCTATGCATATTTACCAGCCCCAATGCTAATGTGCTCTGTCACCACCACATATTCACATTGACCAGCTCTAATGCTCTGGGCTCCCCATTTCAGAATTTATTAAGGGGTGGTTATTGAGGTGTTATTGATGTGGCAGCAGTTCTGTGGCTTCAGGGCAACACCGCCTCACTCAGTGGGAAGAGCAATGGCTCTGTCGCCTGAAATGTCCATAGACGCCCTTTTAATGTCACTGCAAAGCAATGATACCCTACTCTTATGTAATACTACACAATATCAATGGTGTTGCAGTTAACTTGAATTAAAGATCCATCATATCTGTAAACGCTATACTGCAGTATCTTAGTATTCAAAAACTCTGTAAGTAAAACATAATACTGAATACCAAATTTTAATGCTAAACCAGTAGTTCCCAACCTTTTTATCTTTATTTGTTAAGAGCTGTTTTTCATAACGCTAACAGATATATTTCCATTATGCTGTTTTAAAGCACAATTTCTGCATTAAAAAACCCTGAGTGGAAAACACAGAATTTCTTTTTACGAATGGAACAATTGGTGTGTTGATGAGTGGATTGTCTGAAAATACAGTCAAATTTTCTGATACATATGGAAACCAAACTAACATGAACTCGTTCTGCAATTCTTTTTCTATCACTTAGCTTATATTCCTGTTAGCATGATGCCAGATGTTGAGTCACTGTTGTGTCCATTCTGTCCTCAGCAGTGCCAGTGGCGCTGCTCAGAGGGAGCAATATAACCTCTTGTCTTTCTAAACACAACACTGGCTGAACCTCTTGGCAAGTGACCATCACCACAACCTTCTCTTTGGCAACATACAACTTTAATAAAGCAAACAAAAGCCGGTCTGCCACAAACTATCGTGCATTAAACCCCTATGCAGGAAAAAAACTGGTACACCCAGTGAAATATATCTGACCTTTAGGAATACAAGGGGCAAGTAATTTTGGTTCCACTCACTCCAAATCAAAGTTTGTTTGCTTAACTCTCATGCTTCTTCCTAATTAAACAATCACAGACATGTTTCTGCCTTTCTGCCTCAACTTCAGAAAGAAAAAAATAAATTTCATGGGTTCACTTTCATTTCTAAGGCAAAATGTCTAGAAAGTAATGATTATCATACGATCTTATTAAATTAGAATTAGAATAGAAATGGAGAAGAGAAAAGGATGACATGTTTTAAACCATCTTTGAAAGCACAGGAGTCCCTCAGGGTTCCCCAATGACATACTGTGAATAATCATTAAGTCAGAGTCAGCTAAGAAGACACATGGACAGATACACTTAATATTTTTAAGGAAATATGTGATTTAGATGAAACAAACTGTTCTGTATATTTCCTTACAGCTTGTAATACATGGGTGTTTGCCACCCTCCTGTCTCTCAGCTCCTGCTGGTCGCTCACCATGGCCTTGAGGCAGCAAAGTGGAAACACAGCAATCCTGGCACTGCCTTAGCACAATCTGAGTCCAGCCACCGTATAGAGCACACCAGTCTCCCTCTTCCATCTGTCACTCTGTTCCCATAATCCCCTGCTGCTGTAACTGATCTAATGGTGTGTCTTTAAACAATAGGGAGGATAGAGCTTTGTGATTTTTTAATCCCAATATATGAGAGCTAAAAATATAATAATATAAGAGTCTGCTGTTCAGACTCAATGTTAAAGGGTAGGGTCTGTGTTTTTTAAGCTTCTGCTAATCGTCAGGGTTGGTCTTCAGTCAGTCACCATAATAATAGAGACATTAAAACTGATTTTCATGTCTGATAAAGTCAAAGTCCTATTCCTAGAGCCAATTTTACACAATACCAACACATGGAGATGTTCTTATGAAGGCCACACTGTGTCTCAGACCAACAAAAGTTCTTTACTTTGGGTTTATTTTCCTAAAAAGTGGCTGAATACTCATATTGTTTTTAGTATCACGCTCTGCACTGGTTTAACCCCTAATGTCCTGTCAGTCAAACCACTTTATACAAGTGTTTACAAAGGATGAGGGACAACAGAGCATTTCTGGGTAATTGCATTGACAGCAGCAGACAGCCAAATCACAGGAAATGTCAACTAACTCCAGTCTGATTGGACTGGGAACGCGATGAAGGATGCGTGCCGGCATCTTGCACCTCTTCGCACTGACATTCTGACATGCATTTTATTTATTTTTTGGCAACTCCAAAAGGAGACTGTTTGCTATGCTTCCCGCGCTCCCTCTCTGACTGTTGTGTTTGTTCTCCGGCTCCCGCCACTTGTCATAATGGGCCCCGGCAAATCACTTCCAGCTCCGAGCCGAGATGGTGATTGTATCAAACTGACCCCTAACAAGCTGTCAGATCACATTTGATAAAGCATGCATCAGCAACGACTGGCCTGGCATCCGTTTGGACAGAGCGGACAGGTCTTATTCAAGCACTGTAATTCCCTTGTTTTCTGTCTCTCTCTCTCTTCCTGGACAGTTTGACTTGTTGTCTGATACAAATGATGACGGCATCCAGTGGTGCTGTGATTTGATGCAGACAGATGCGCTCCAGTTGCTTCTGATGCCGTAAAGTCAAGAGGAAACAGCCTGAATTGCTCATTCATATACACGATGGATGGAGGCATGGATGGATGAGTAATATCTAACTTCTCCTTCTCCTATTACATCAGCCCCCAGTGCTGTGAAACCTTCAGTTCCGCAGTCACCACATAGAGGGAGCTCATGCGTGTGGAGAAACCAAAGCGTGGAAATGCTGAATGAGTGAGAGAGTGAGAGTGTGTGAGAGAGAGGGAGAGAGAGAGGAGGAGAGGGAGAGAGAGAGAGAGAGAGGTGCGGTGGACGGAATTACATCGTGGGGAAATAATAATGTGACACACACCAGCAGCAACAATATCCATTTGGACTGTGCGCCACGTTGTGCGTGCGCTTTTGTTTCGCCCCAACTTTGGCCAAGTCGGAGCGGAGCCGGTGATCCAGTGTGTGCCCCCAAGGCTGCGTGACAAGTTTGGAGAAGGTGGTGGAGGAAAGAGGAGAAGTCGCATCACTATTTCTAAATTGGTACAGTTAGGGGGGGGGGGGCGTGGACGGCGGAGAGGAGCGGCGGCGGCGGCGAACATGTTGGCTTTTGGCTGCGGTTCCAGCGTAGTGATGTGCCGGCTGGAAGAGGAACCGAGCGACGCGTAGAGGACGTGGACTGAGCGGCTGGACGCGGAACACATTCATCGGCTTTCTGTCGTTTTGAAGCCCGCTATGTTTTTCATTTTTATTTGGATGTATTTCTTCAACGTGCTGTACGAGATTTGAAGGAAGGAGCAGAAGCCGTGGAGCGTCTTTAAGACGTGCGTAACAGACGAAATCTGCAGATATTTGAATGATAATAGTTGGAGGCGATTGCTTTCACATTTGTTTAAGGAAGCCTAATTGTTGGAAGTGAGCGCGCAGGGTAAACTGCTGTGTGCGCGTAAAATCGATGTTTTAATGACATTTGGGATTTGAAAGCTGCAGCAAGTGAAAGTGAAGTGATCTCCATGTGTAAATATTGACAGGTGTTATAAACCTTTCATTCATTAAACGGATCTGTTCATGTGTTTAAAACACCCTGGACTCATGAGGCTGCACTGGTAACCAAAGCTGTGCCATGGATCATCCACAGTATTGTTTCATCCAGCAGTTTTAACACACGTTGATGGTAACAACCTTAGGATGCGTTTGAAACGCCGGATGGGAAAGTAACCATCACTTCAGTGTCGTCTTCCCTCCCGAGTTGTAGCAGCCAAAATGACAAGCAACGGACCTGTCATCGTCTACGAGTGGCTGAAGACCCTCCAGCTCGCCCAGTACGTCGAGGCTTTCGTGGATAACGGATACGACGACCTGGAGGTTTGCAAACAGATAGGAGACCCCGACCTGGATGCCATCGGCGTCTACATCCCTCACCACCGGCAGAGGATCCACGAGGCGGTGAGGAGGCTGAAGGAGGAAGCTAAAGAAACGGCGAGCGCGCTGTACTTCACCCTGGAGCCGATGCCACCCGCGGCCGAGATTTATACCAGTCACATGGTGGACCAGTACGAGTCCAAACTGCGGGGGTCCAAGTCCTGGACCGAGCCCAACAGTGAAAGAGTCGGGCGCACCGGTGGCTACATGGGTGCGCAGCGGAACCTGACGCTGGGCAACAGGAGGGAGCTGGTGATATATCCCAAGCTGAAGCTGAAGATCATGATCAGGGATAAACTCATCAGAGATGGCATCAACCTGGCCAAGCCGCCCTATTCTAATAAGGTAAGAGGGGGCTGACACATGGCACATAAGACACCATCAGCTGCCAAGAGTCATGCGTAACAAGCACACCAGAGTGAATCATGTTCAACACACACACACACACACACACACACATTGTTGGTCTGATATACACTTTAAAACATGCATTCAGCCTGTATGAACTTAAGCTTATGAATTCCAAAGGTTTCAAAGGTTTTTTCAATGTGCCTTAAGTTTTTTTTATAAGCCACAAAAGCTTCTGTCACCTGCATCATCATCCATCACATGCAGGATGAAAGCTGTCAGTCAGAGAAAGTGCTTTTGGTGCAAAGGGTCTTTTTTGAACCATGTAGGTAAAGGCCGCCTTAACTATTCAGCCTCGCTGCACTTCACAGAGGTGTGAGTGGTTTGCTGCCATAGTGAATGATGGGAATGAAGTTGCTGCAGATCAATAAGCGGAGAGCGGAGAGGAGCTTCCTGAGGACCATCTCTGGTTTCCTGTAGGGGGGGCGAAAAGAAGATTTACACTCCTGATTATAAATCTAGTCTGACCTCACCTGTCCAGTGAGGGTGGACCAACCAGGCCCCATGAGCCCTGATGAATGGGCAATGGGATATTGATTGCTGGAGTGAATGAAGAGCAGCGAACCGGGTTTGGCTGTTGCACTCCTGTGAGGAGCTAGACTGAGAGGGCCTCTTGTTCTCACAGGACTGATGGTGACCTTTTCGTCAGAAGTGTCTGAATCATATGCCGCACCAGCCGAGAAGGCTCTGCTGTTTAAATACAGCGTTTGACCAGTGTCTCTGCAGGCCAGCGAGGACATGGAGGTCATGTCCTGAGCCGGGAAGTTACAGCAACACGTAGGTTTTTCAACAACCAAGAATTAAACCTTACATTTGTTTCGCAACCTTCAGCGAAAATAAGAGTAACTGGCTGTCAGTTGATGAGCAGAACAGGCAAAACCAGTCTCCCAGCTATGATAATGTGCAGGTGGTTTGGAGGCCGGTTTTGAATGCTGACACTTTCTTTCTCCTCGTTCATTCAACACGATTCTTATCTCCCTGATTGATGTTATATTTAAGGGTGTAATTGTCTCAGAAGTTAAGTCATCCAGGCCTCAGGTTTTGCTGAAGGGAAGGGTTTTGTGGTCGGCGGGAACAGGAACCCTTGATTCAACTGATCGAGGGCCAGGTGATTAGCTGCTTTTCAGTAGCTGAGCAAAGGCTGTTAGACGTGTGTTGAAAAGGAATGGTTTCTGCATCAAACGTGTGGCCCTGTTCATACCTGTTATAAACGTGCATCTTGATCCGATCACAAGTGGACAGCTCTGAGTACGTCGCTTCACACCGGGCATTTTAATCGTCCCCACGTGTTTCTCCAGTGACCACTCGTGATCAGATCTCACATTGCTGCTCGGAAACAAACACAAACATCATGTCTGTTTCCAAAGACTTAATGTATGCACAGCTAAAACAATGTGGCCACATGTGTCCCACCTCACATCCGAATGAGGTCTGATTGATCGGATCTGAAATGCGTCTGTCCTGGACGTGTTCACACCTGTAGAGCTGTCCACTTGTGATCTGATCACTAGTGGCAGATGTTTCAGTGTCAGGTCTGAGCAGAGACTGTTTGTCTGTTGGATTGTCTGGATTTGCATATCATTATTTATTTATGGGTGTGCTTTGTAACAGCTTTTCTGTTTGAATTTATATTCCAACTGACAAAGATCCTGGTGTGATACCCACATTCTTATTTATCTAATAAAATACAACCCAAACATTAATTCCATAAACCCTGTCCAGTATGTGCTTGCTTCTAAATTAGCTTCTCAAACTGATGCCAGCTCTGAATCCAAGTTTTGCATGTTGCATGAGCTCTTTTTTCAGTCTTCAGTCTGTATATTTCAGCCACTTTGGCTGATGGTGAATCCCACAGAGATGCAGGATTTGTGAGGGATTATCTGTCAAACCAGGGCTGAAACAAAGTGTTGGTTCCAGAGGGTTAAACTCTTTCCCTTTGAAGGCTGTGTTTATTTAGAGCCAAAGCTTTGGTGTCGAGGCTGTGGAGGGGAATGTGCAGGTCAAGGTCTTTCTGCTTCGCTCTCTCTCTTTGTGTGTCTGTGTGTGTGTGTCTATGTCTAACCCTGTAGTTTTGAATTGGCTCCAGCCCAGTGCTTTTCTCCCCAGTAGGAGTGAGAGGAGTTAAGAGATGGAGCTGAGACCAGCTGATGGAGGGTTGACTAACTGGGCTGTGATTGGCCTGTAGATAGCTCCCCTCTCGCCGCCCTTGAGATGAGATGTCACCCCCAGCGGAGGCCGAGACCAGAGAGAGAGACTCGGGGCAATTACAGGACACACAATGTCTCCAGGGATATTCAGTGTATAGCATATCCAAGATCCACATCCACATTAAAACTGTCCTCTGTGCCGTGCGCTCTAACGTCTGACAGCCCTCTTCCCCTTCGTCTGCGTGTCAGTGGCTTTGTCTCCACTGTTTGTCATCGTGCCAGAAACATACGCAATATAGGCACAAATATTCAGAAGCCCTATCTAGCGCCTGCTGGGTATCCTGTGCGACAGCTCCCATTATCAAACAATTCACTGAAAGGGCTCTGCTGGGTATAATAAATACCCATGATCCTTATCAAAGCTGCAGAGACCCCTTGTCTGAGAGAGAGTATTATTCCTTCTGATGTAAACAAACACTTGTGCGATGGGTTGTGCATTTCTAGATGTCTCATAAGGGAACAATATAAGACAAGGAGACGGAGCTGCTTGTCTGCCTGTTGTTGACTCCACTGCAGGCGCAGAGTTAATTTAGTCTTTATCTCCTGGTTGAAACTTCCTTATAGATTTCTGATGCAGTGTGAGTAAACATGTTAATGAAGAAACTATAAATCTGCTTTTTAAGTATTTGTCAACTCCACAGATACCATGTCTGCTTTGTTTTGTTTTGAGTGAACCCGTGTGTAAATGGCTGATGGGGAACAGGTTACTTCCTTAAACAAGAAACATGATCATATACATTATAGATTAGTTTATCCGAGCTGGTTCAAATCTGTCCTTTGACTAATGAGATGACATTTGAAGACTTCAGTTTAGATTTTTGCGTTGCTTTAAATTGACAAATCGGTAATTTGTCATACCTTGTTCCTTGTAAGTTGTGTTGTATATTTTTTAGTTTTTTAGTTTTTAAGCAACATTAAACAAACTGCTGAACGGATTTTCACAAAACGTGGTGGAAGGATGTGGTTTTATTTCTCAGAGAATAATCAATGGATCTTGATTTTTTTTGTCCGACATTTAGAGAACTGCTATTTATGTGATTGTGTGAAATTTGTTGCAGCTTGATTGAATTTAAGGGAACTATTCGGTTGTGGCTCAGCTTTACTGAGTCCTTTTCCAGTTTATTATGTTTCATCCTTAGATCTCTGTTCCGTCTTTCGCTCAGTTACAAGACACAATTTCTCCAGCGTGCAGTTCAAGTTGAAACTGAAGGTTATTTTAAAGTCCCACCCCACTGACTTAAATGAAAAATTTTTTTTATTCTCTCAGAAAAATATCTTTTACTTTAAATTCCTCTTTGACTCATCTCTGGACCAAACTACGTAGAGATATGTTCTCATCCCAGTCTCATCCAGAGCTGTAAACAGTGGACAGACTCAGTCATAATAGCGCCTCATTGTTAGTGTTGTGTGTCAGGAGGAAGTAGAAGCCAAACAGTGGGAGCGTCTCTATTGTTTGTGTGCAGGCTGATGGAACCACATATCCTTTCACTACTGCTCTGTTTTGCGTTCCCAATTTCCGTCCATTGAAGCGGGCTGCGGAGGCAAGTGTCCAGCATTGTGCCGATGGGTGGTTGATAAAAATCTAGGTGTCATGCGGAGAGGGTTGTAAATAGATGGGCACATTTTTTGACTCGGTGGGTGTTTGGGAAGGGGATGCACCATCAGGTGGTGGAGGAACGTTGGTGCTTTCTCTGACCTCCACTCAACAGCTGATCAAATGTGTAGGCTGGGAATTGTGAGAGGCCCGCAGCTTAACTGACCTTAAGAATGTAAGCAATGCAGTGGACATCCAGAAATGTCGCACCCAAAACGAAGGATGACACTTAACTAACTGCTACCAGCTTCCTTTAGCTAAAAAGAAGCTCACCGCCATACATGCCAAACACTCATCCTACTTCCTCTTTCACTCCTCTTATCTTGATTAATATCCCAGCACTTTGGCCCTGGCAGGAAATTAGGTTTTTGTTTCAGACGTCCCTGTGTTGGTCCACTGTGGGTGTCGAGGGCCCTTCAGGCTTGTGGACAACTGCCAAGAGTTGGTGAAGGTGAAAAATAATGTCAGCACTTTTACATTTAGATCCAAAAATCAATGTAGGAACAAATGTCAGCGCGTCTCTTTCCTCTGCGGTTCCCATTCAGGTAAGTTATAGCTGAGGTTAAACAAAGATTTCCAGTCAAGCTGTTGTATTATATATATTAGTTGCATTCTGTTTTCAACTACATGTTATCATGAATTACAGGTTATTGCTGTAACATGAAAAATACGTTCACAGAAAGCCATTATTTGAATTTAGCTGTTTTTCCTCAACAAAGGGCTATTTCATGGCTTTAGTGGAACCCTGCAGAGAACACGTTTCATGAGCTTTTCATTTCGCCTATATTTTCTTTTGAGTTAACATCCTCTTCATTTTGACCCGTGCTATAAGGGCTGGCGTTGTGCCATAACAGAGCCTTTCACAACAGAGTTTTCCAGGCATTCTGCTGAAACCTCTGTTTGCTTAGTCTTTATTAAAGGCTCCTTAAAGGCACAATCAACCGAGGACTTATAAAGGGGAAGTCATAAAGAAGTCAAGGACCAGCCTTATTGTCCTGAGAGGACTGAGAAAGTCAATTAGTGGAGTGAGCTGCTGTTTGGGTTATAAAAAAAAGCAGGGCACTAAAAAGGGATGGATCATGTTCCCCTAAAATGGAAAAAGTCACATATGCACTCATTTCGTGGGTCTTTCTCCAAACAGCCACTTTGTTTATGAGCTTTTAAAACCATCTTTGTTAAGCATAAACTGCAAGTACCAGGGTTTGGTTTCTATGGAGAGCAGCTGTGAGTGGTGAGGACTGATGGCTATCACACTGACCTTTGACCCCTGCAGCTTCTGACCTGCTGGACTAAAACACTAAGGTTTGATGGTGGTCTCGCCCCCAGATAATGAAATGGGCTGCACACAATAATGGCTCCACATGTGGGTTCTGGTTTTTACAATGTCAAACTTATCTTTCTCATTTCACTTTAGTTGATTTCGGACGTGCAACAAAGTCCTGATATTTTCCTGAAATTATCCAGAGGGGGAGTATGTGAGAGCACAAATGTCAGAGTCAGTTGCTCCAAATATTTGTTTGTGTATCTGTTGTGTTCTTCATATGTGAAAAAAGCTCTAGATTGTCTTGAGTGCATCAGTTTCCCATCTGTTGAACATTCTGTGTGGGGTCCTTTGTCAGGCAAGAAAACAATAACTGCAAAAGAAGCAACTTCACATATTTCTTTAATCATTATAAAGAAATCTCCATTCACTGGATGGTTTTCAACTTCTGGCACTGTGAGTCAGGGAGTTTCTGTCCGTCCCTCCGTCAGTTAGACTTGACCACCCATCTCCTGGGACCATGTGCAAATGTGGGAAAGCGGCCTTTAAGCTGTGTTTGCAGCTGGTTTTCTTATTTCAGCAGGAAGGAGTGAGAGGGTCTTGCTCCTACTGTTCTGTTTCTCACATGATCAACTGGCTTTTGAGCTGCTTTTATTCCCTGGACGTGCGAACTGTGTTGGAAAGATGACATTTCACAGAACTCAAACTTGCTAACCTTCTCTCCAATTAATCAACTGACGATTGTAAAGCCATAATAATCTCACCATTTAGATGTTCAGTTCATGTGGAAAATTTGAATTTATGCTTGTGGCAGTATAAATGTCACTCCCTCTATAGCCTTTGGAGATGTATTGTGTTTAAATAACATATGCGAGTTACAGTATACGTGTGTCACTTAAAGTTATGCAGCCATGGTAACGGCTTTAAATAAAGCAGGCCGCGGAGACTGCAGAGCCATTTCTTTCTCCACAGTGTGCCGGGCAACAGTTCCTGATGACACACATTCATGACAGATACATTATCAGAGCTATTCTGGTCCAAGGTTTTAGCACCTTCCAGACAGCATGTCTGCATGACCAAATAGTATCTACATCAGGAGTGGCTGCAGGCTCCATTATCAATACTTCTATTCCATTTCAGTGGACGGGGAAGTTATTGGAATGTTTTCTTACATTCGTTTTGGAATCTGGTTGATATTCAGTATGTTTAGTTTGTGTTTTCCAGCTATACCATCAGCAGGGATAGTGTAGGCTGAATGGGAGAAGCAAATGTTATTTTGGTTCTAAGTTATGTTTGACATGTGTAAAATGTCCCCCTCTGTATTTCTGAATCCAAGCCTTTTAAAATCAAGGCTATGCTTTATGTTCCAGTGCACAGACAAGCAAACAGAGAAGCTAGATGTTCAATTGCTACTGTAAACAAGTGTTTTTCAAACACTTCTTCCCTGCCTCTCTGCAGAACACATGAACTGCAGCTCGCTTTCATTCAGAAACTGCCCGTAGACACGTGAAAGAAGCTCCATCATAGTCACAGCACATGTGCACAATAATGACCCCGTGGTCCTCTTTGAACAGTGGAGATGGAGGGAAATGAAGACATCAAGCACCCCTACAGGATGGAGAGTGACAAGAGAGCAGGCCCGAGCATCTGTCTGTGAGAGCATCCAGATTGCAAACACACCTGCAAATCAACACAACCGCACGTTTTCTGCCTCTCTGCAGCTCTGTCATGTTTGCAGTTATGACTACACTCGCAGTGATTACTCTGGAGGGGATCATTCAAGTTTCTCATGAAAAAAGAAACAGAATTGGTTAGAAATATATACGACCACGTTTGCAAACATTTGGAACACCCAGGGTCTAAATGTCTGTTCAAAAGCTGTGCAGAAGACAAACTGATCTTTAATGGGCATAAAGTTAAAGATTCATTTGTTTTGTACAGCTCTAGAGTGAAAACAGGTGAAAGAGCACGACGAAAAAATGTGGGCACCTCAAGAGATTTGAGTCTTCAGATAACTTTTACCAAGGTCTCAGATCTTAATTAGCCATGGGCTCATCTCAGCGGTTGCCTAACACTCTGAAAATTAAAGTAATTCATGTCCTCGACGCAGGCAGAGGATATAAGATGATAGCAAAGTGATTTCAGGTAGCCCTTTCCTCAGTAAGCAACTCCATTTCTAGACAGACCAGAAAGGCTTATGCTGTTTTTTCTACTTCTATTGTTTAATCCTCTCTCAGCTTCCTTCAATTGGTCCGAATGTCAGATTTACATCCAAAAAGCCTTTTCTCGCTGTAAACAAATCATACCATGGCTCTGTTTGATCTGGACCACCTCTTTTGGTCTGACAAAATTTTGCTCTGTTGCCTCAGATCGTGGTCCGAGTTACCTTTCACATCTCTTATTTTGGTTTGGACTGAACTTGAAACATCTTAAGGTCCAGACCAAATAAGGTGGGTGTGAAAGTGCCCTAAAAACTCTGGCAGGACTTTTCAAAGATTTGCTAGAAAGGAAAATCTGAAGCCCCATTTTTCTCCAAAAGACCTTCAGGAAGATTCATCAGATTCTGGAGTGGTGATGCATTGCTCTTAGACACCTACACAAATATGACCTTCATGGAAGAGTCATCAGAGGAAAACCTTTCTTGTATCCTCACCACATAATTCATCGATAATGCTTTGAGCTTGTGTTGCTGCCAGTGACATTGGGAACATTTTCCTGGTAGAGGGAAGGATGGAATTGATTAAATACCAGCAAACATCTCACTGTCTGCTTGGCTTCTACAACAGGATAATCATCCTAAAAATCCACAATGGACTATACCTCAAGCTGAAGCTTTGCTACTGCCCAAAAAAAATCATTGCAAATCTGTGGATAGACCTCAAAGAGCAGCGCATGCAAGACAGCCAAAGAACTAGAAGCCTTTTCTGAGCAAAAATGGGCAAAAACCCAAGAACAAGAAGTGAAAGACTTAGCTGGCTAAAACAAGAGTCTGCAATCTGTGATCTTTGCTGAAGGGGCTGTTAACTACAGACCATGCAGGGTGCACAAATTTAGCTTTGGTGCCTTTTCATTTGTTATTATTTTGAATCTGTTAAAGAAAAGTAATCTTACTTAAAATATTGAAGAAGTGTTTTATCTTTACCTTTATGCCTTTTGACAATCAGCTCCCCCTTTTTCTCACTCAGCTTTTCACAGTCCATGCTTGAACTTTGTCATGCCACTGTACATTGTTGCGTACTGCACAGGCACTGTATGCAAACTTACTGTAACCTCACACATTCTTAATGTTTCCTTAGGAGGTCACGCGTGACCTACAGTCCAAGAAAGCTAATTACATTGGACTCCCACGTGTGCATGTGAGGGGGGGGTCATGCACAAGAAAAGTGGCTTTGTTAGAAGTCACCATGGAGACAAGAATAAAGACATTTAAAAATTAAACCATATGTTTCTCCTGTAATCTTAAACTTACATTGTGTACTGGCTGAAATGGCAGACACAGGGTTGGGATTATTGCATAATGCTGTAATTCTTTCAGCGATACATGTGCTCCATGGAGTTTTAAATATTGCTCAAGCTCTTTGGTTAAGCAGCTCTCTGGTTCAATGTTGTGACTGCCAACTGTGCAGTAACTCAGCCATGACACAGTCAGTGAAAGTGGAGCCATATTTCATCAACAAAGATGATTGAATATGATTGATTTTCTTAATTCACATGATTTTTTTCTATTGTAGCCCCATATTAAGTTTTTGGGTCGTCTCCTACTCCAAAATATACAGTTAAAGATGAGAGAAGCAGAAAGCTGAATCCACCATCCTCTCGTTAAAAAAGTCATAATCTCTCTTTTTATGAGCTGAACTCTGTTCCTCTAAAAACGTGACGGAGCACATTCCAAGTAATTTTTACTTCAACATTCTGCCTCAGCTGGATGAAATAATCCTCTTTCCCAGGAAGATGCTGTTAAAAGTGAACAATGACAGTGTACCCTGTAATGCACGAGGCTCAGACAAGCTCCATAAATCAGAATGATGAGGGAGGAGACGTACGCTGGTTGCAGCTTAGCGGAGGATTTCTCAAGGCATCAAGAGTTTTAGGAGGGTTTGAGTGCCGCTGCATACAACAGGGTTCAACTGTTCTACATGTAGCTACAGTTTGGCTCATGTCAGCCTGTGATATCTTGGACTGTGTTTAAGGGATATAATGTGGGGGTGTAGAGAGATGAGTGAGGCATGATACCACGGAGTATGAGTGTTACACAGACAGAGGGAGAGTGTGTATAATTACCTCGTCTGAAGCCCTTGCCAGCTAGGTGCATTGAATGCAGCACAACCAACTCTCAACCCCTCCTTATCCCTAATTGGTCCATTTTGAAGGCATGAAGGCAGGGCTCCGCTGAAAGCTTTGATCATGGAGACCACACCAGTGTCGATATGTCCCTACCTGAGTGCTTTTGTAGTGGTTGTACCTGGCAGGAGATTAAGCCATATACCGAACCCAGTGAGTGTCTGTCTGTCTGTCTCATGCTCTGGCCTCCCTGCGGCTCCGCATACCTGAACCCGAACCCTAATTACCTGGCAGTTACTACATTCCTCAAACACGCCCACGCAAACACACTCGCACAAAAACGGTGTGTTGCACATCTTCTTTTATAAAAGAACCACCAGCATTTTGTAGATATGCTTTTGTCTTGTGTGGTTTACCGCTTTTAATATATCAAGCATTTACAAAACATTTATGGGTTCCAGCACATTCCAACACAAATGTTAATCTCTCCATTAGTGTGTGTGTTCTGTGTACATCTACTGTGTCTGCTTGCAAGTAAAATCTGTAGGAGTAGGTTCCTATATTCATTATTTCACTTTTAAATTATTTAGAGCATATTTTACAAGTTTAATTGCTTCACACTTAAGTCTGCAAACAACTCTTTTACAAACAGGTTATTCTAAATAGATCAGAAGTAGAGGTAGAGATGTTCCTACACCAGCATCGGAAATGCTTCTGTTACTGCCGAAAATGCCAGGTTGGCCATCAGCTAGTGCGCTCATCTATGTCCTGATCCAATACCGCATCTTCAAGGTATATTAGTTTCACCCAGATAAAACTACGCTTTTCCTTCACCACTTGTGGTCGAGTGTTGACTGATAAGGACAAGTGAGAAAAGCGAATGCAGGTGACTCATCATTTCCAGTCATCCAGATTATAATACTCCCCCGCGTTTTCACACTAGCATTCCTCAATCAGCAGCTTATTCCAACTTCTCCCTTTTAGGTGATCGGAAACTTGAAGTAGTGTAGTAAGAAGTGCCCATGTCTTCTGAAAGCTTAGGGATATGAACGAAACAGATAAACCAGAGCAGTACCACTGGAAAGTTAGGGGGCAGTGTAACCAGTAGTAAAATGAGAACTGACCCAAAGACAAGAGGAAGAAATTTCAACAAAATTTTATCCACATGACGGGATGTGCTGATCTAAGATAATATAGTTATCCCTCTATTATTAACATTTGATAATAGAGCCAGAATATATATAAGTCACCAGAACAAAGTTTGAAATGAATATCAAAGTACGAAAAGGTTCAAATTTGCATCAGGTTTCATATTCTTCACTGACTTTTCAATGAGAGAAGGTTGAGCTGGCTTTAATATTTCTGTCCATGTGAGCAGCTGTCAGCGAAGTCACGCTCATCATTAGTGGATCACTCCAGACAGGCTCAGTATGGAGGTCTGGAGTTCATCACTTTAATTGCCGTTTTTTGACCTCCGTACATGTTAGAGTCAATTGTTCTGTTCATTAAATGTTAATCGCTTGCCGCACTGTTTCATGCAGGGATGAACAGTCGCTCCACTGTGGCCGCTTCAAATCTGAATCCCACATCATTAAAGCAACAGTAGGTGTTGGAGTCCTCTGGCCTCTGCGAGGAGACGTCTGTATAAGTTTGTTTTTGCTTGGCTTAACCTCGCAACACATCATTCATTTCACTCATTCCATGTTTACCCAAAACACACTTCTGTACTTTATAAACCCATAAAATCCTCTATTCACCTCAGTGTATGCAGGTTTTAAGCCACAAAACAGACTGTACCTAATGAACAGTAAATGCTTTGAGTGTTATGTTGTCCTCTGGGTATAGCCACGCATTCTTATGAATATTTTTGTGTTTTGGGATGCATCTAAGGTCACCCTCCGTTAACGTCTGAGATGTGCACTCTTGGTGCAGCTTCATCTGCTGTTGGTGAACCTCAAAACCACAGTTTTCATGTCAGCAGATCTCTCATCCGCCACCGTGCCAAACCAACCCCTGTTTACTTTAATAGCCCCTGAGAATTCTTCTTAAAGTCTCTCAGACAAATCTGGAAATACATACTGGTCCCACTTTTCCCCATTTTCTCTGGTCCCACCACATGTTTTTTTTCACACAATGCCTCTTGCCTTCAGGGCCTGGCGCCATCATTCAACTATCTTAGATCATTCCAACCTCAGTTTAGTCTTGTAG